ATTTTTTCGCATTTTAGGCTTATACTTATAATTAGGATACATGCGTTTATGGTTTGCACAAGCTATTTTCTCTAATATTTTGAAGAAATGTTTAACCTCACTTGGCAACTGTTGCCACCTCAAACTACATTCTTGAGCCGTATGTTTAACTTCTTGTTTGACATCAAGCGCACGAAGACGTAAATTTGCTTCATAATCTTTTCGGAAAATTATCCAGCTGTTTTGTGGTCTTGGTGGACTGTCAAAATTAAGGCGTTTTTTTGCGGCTGGTTTTGTTAATTCGTCAATCGAAAGAGTTAATTGATAAGAGCATTGTTGCAAAATCTGCATTTCATTCTCAGTTAAATGTTCGTAATTAGTGCTGGAATTAGTCATTTTATTAGATTTTTTAAGTGCGAAAATTTTGTTTCGTTAAATTGACAAAGGCTATCGATTTTATATGGGTAGAATTTTCATCACCTCTTAATGCACATGTTTATATGAGTTTATGCAATTATATGTGAGGTTGAATTCTTTATAATGATCTTGTAGTGAATTGTCGTTTGTCGGAAATTATAAATCGGTCTTTGTATAATCTTTCTAGTTTTCGGTCGTTTCTTTGATTCAGTCGTTATGATTCAATTGATCGTGATTTTCTATTGCCAGATTGTTATTTATCAGAATTTTTGTTTTCCTGATGACATTTTAACAGTTAAACAGGCAGTTTTTAAATATTATTTTGCTTCTGATATTATTATAGTTTAATTGATTTATTGATAAATGTCTATTGCCGCAAAGTGTCTTTTGTTGCTGTTAATGCTTGTTTTGGAAAGTTTTTGGAGAGGGCTATGATTTTGGCGTCCTGATTTTTTACGCCATTTATGCATGTTAGCTGAAGTGTTTCTTCATTCATGCACACGCTACTTTAGCTGTACAATTAAAATTGGGATTTGTTGATCATTTCTTTTTATTGTTTCTAATTGATGTTTTTGTGCAGCCGTTGATATTTGCTCGAATACCCAAATACATGTATGTTTGTGACTAATCCAGTCAGCAATTTATCGAGTTATTTTGTTGCTATTCTCTGTCGATGTGTTTTTCGACCTGTGTTGTTATTACATTTGCAACATAATCCAATATTCGGGTCTTTATTGTTCTGATAAGAATTACTTTACATCCAGTAGTAGGATCGGTCGTATTGTTGTTAAAGTCTTGATATTACTATACTTGTCAATGCTTCTTGAATGAATTGATTTCTTGTTCAGATAATTATGTATCATTTACAAAAAGTAAGTTTGGATGTTAGCACTTCGTGCTAAATTTTTATAAAAAAATAAAAGCATAGATGCTAGAACAAGCATTTTAATGTATCGATGTGGATTTTACAGCATTATTTTAATATATTTAAATCAATCGGAAATTGAATATAAAAATAAATGTGTGTACCTGTATACTGCATTTGAATGGATTCGTTTTTCGATAATGAATTACATCTTCCAGGAAATTATTTGGCACTGCACTCCGGGATTTTTTATAAATGTTGCACGATTGCACAAACATATACATATAGTTCACATCAAAAATAACTTAAAGCACCAATTAAAAATTCAGGTGAATATAATCTCCACGGTGAGGGGCAGCATAAGATATCCAATACTGTGCCAAAATGCCAATTTTTTATTACAGTTCTTATATATATTAATTAAATTGACCAATCAGTAGTAATTAAAAAAAATTTTTTAACCATATTTTTATATAATAAATGCCAAATTTCCAATCACATAAAATTTAAAGTGTTATAAATTTTTAAAATTATAAATCTGTTTAACAGAATTGTAACTTAGACAAAAAGCAACAAATTTGTAAGAGGGGATTTTTGTTAAAATTATTTATCTTTGAGTTATAGTACTTTTTATATTATATATAAATATTGGATATCTTATGCTGTCCCTCATTATAGCTCTGACAATTTTAAATCAACTTTCAAAGGTTAGTTAACATTAATCTACTAATTTTATTTTTCGATTGATAATAGTTTGATTGTCGGGATGTGGACGACACCTGTGTATAATAAAATGGAAGATGCAAGAAATTGATAAATTGAATGTGAAATTATAGTCATAAATAAATGGAGAAATTTATAAAAATCGTATTCTAGAATTACACGAAAGAGCTTGAGGTCTTGCTTTTCATGATGTAAATTATAAAAAATTCATTATATATTTTAGCTATATTATTTTTGAAATCTCTATACTGTATGATACCCAAGAAGAGATTGTTCAATTCAAATAAAGATCAAAAAGCATCCAATTTTATCGTTATTTTGCTTCTGTTATTCAAAATGTATGAGGTCGCACAATTTCAAGTAGCTAATTTGACATAGACATAGTTCTTTTTATCTTGTTTCCTCAATAGCATTCATTTATAAGAAACGATACTTACGACTTAAATTTTTTATGATAAAGACATTCACTTGTGTATTTTAAGGGATTAGTTTTAAAATAACAGAATTTTGAAATTGAATTATTATCTTGGATTACTTACTTTTAAGTTATTGGGAATTCGTGTTTGTAACATGAAAATAAATCAATTCACAGTCTATTCTTTAAATTCAGGCGTTTATTTTCATACATTTTCAGATGAAGCTTTATTTATATGTACTGATATATTATTTGTAAAAATTATGTACATGAATTTCAAGTTAAAATAAAATAATTTAAACATAAACTGATATCTGTGTAGAAATGGAAGCCGTATTTAAATAATAAAGTAGTGATAATAAAGAAATCATGGATTAGAATTATTGAAGAAATCTTATTAAGTTAATAAAAACGAACCTCTTTATAACAAACTTTTGATATAACGAACTTAAAACTTATATTAGTTCGTTATAAAAAGTATATAGAAAATATAGTAACTTTCTACAACGAATTTTTTCAGAGAACCACCAGTTTGTTATGGGAAGAGTTGACTGTACATGTAATTCGTAATGGTGATAAGCGTACATTGAAGATTGAATTTGCAAAATTATGGAAACACTCGATATACACATAATTTTGAACTTATTTATTTCAATTATAGTAAATAAATAAAAAATTTTATATTGACATACTGTAGATTAATATTGTAATATAGTTTTTAGAAATTTAAAGTATCGGTCGGTATGTTGTGCTGTTTTCTATTCCGATTAATTACAAAAGCGTATGTACATTTCTGTGTTTGCATGTATGCATGCGTTAACGTTCGAGCCCTGCTCTATTATTTATACATGTACAAGTTCGTTACTTGTTTGACAAGGATGTTTGATCACGGGAGGTTAAAATTTATTTAATATCATATCATTCAAATACACTAAATATTATTTTGTTAATACATGTATGTGGATAATGATAATGCTACTTCCATAATTAATATACTTTTTCATCTTCTAATTCTCGTAAATTATACCACAAATGAAGAAAAAACGAGAATAAAAGTAAAGCACAGCAAATGGGATAACGTTGGGAAATAATAATATGATACTACTATACATGTATAATGAAGACTGAAAAGGAATAGAGGAAGACGATGATGATGCCTTTAATTTACAATTGTAGAATAAACTTGTCTGAAAACATGTTATTTCAGCCAATTAGTAAGCACTGAACGGGTTAACAAGACACTAAAATGCAAATGAAGTAGAAATGAAAATGGATGTTAAAAAATCCCGTTACCGCCATTATTTGAAACATTAAAACGTTATTGATAACAGATTACATAATTTGTTAGATAAAATCTACATGTATAACAATAAATAAAATCAAACATATAACGATAATATAACGATAACGCTAAAAAATATCTTTACACTAACGTTAACAAATAACTTTTAGTTCTGAATGAACACAGGTAAATTCAAATTTCATCGCTAATCCACATGCTAAACAAATTCGATACAAAAAATAAAAATAATGGATATATAAGCGCTCAAAAAAGTCAATGTTGGTATTTCATTAGATTTTTAAACTTCAATTCCATTACATATCAAAAACATGGATTATTTATTAAGCAAATTGATTCTTATACTTGTTCATAAACACAATACTAACAGCAAAATTTTTGCAATATTTCTTGAAGGTGCAATAAACTAAATATGGGTTTAAAATTATATTAATTTAATCTCGTTTCAACTGTTGCATACCGTCAATTTTAAGAACTTCCTTATATTAAGTATAACTTACGTTTTTAGTGTTTTATAAAATTAGCACCATTAACATTAAACTTTATAATGATCTGATACTTTATTCGAAAATTAACATCATTTTAACTGGTTTACGGTAATTGAATAACTATATTCATTGTTTAATGCGAATTTAATAGCTATTACATGTTGCACAATTTCCTTTTTGAAATAAAAATAATTCTCCCATCTAACAATTTTCAATAACAATGAAAATAATAATTCCTCAGTCAATAATCCGAAGCAAAAATCGTGACACCCGATCCATAATACATGTTTAATTAGCTATCGTTATCACATCCAATACCGATACATCAAATCATCTATAGTCAGACCTTATTAATATCAACTTCACGAGGCTGGACAATTTGTTGATACGTGGGGGGGGGGGGCTGAAAAGTTTTGCGCGTGGACGTATATTTCCAGAACTGTTGTAATAATTATCAATACAATTACTTCGTTCCTTCAAAGTACTCTCCGTTAAACTCTATACAACATTCTAGCCGATTTTGCCAACTCTGAAAAGAGTTCTCATAGTCCTCTTTTGGGATACCTTCAACAACTGCCTGAACAGCCTTGCCAAATTTTCGATCTTATCAAATCTCTTTCCCTTTAGTTCTTATTTTATTCGAGGGAATAAGAAAAAATCATAAGGAGCAAGGTCTGGACTGTATGGTGGGTGGGGAAGAAGTTCCACTTGCTCATTACGAAGATATTCCATTACGATTCTTGCCTTATGTGCTGTGGCATTATCGTGATGAAGCATGACATCACGAACAGTCATTCTACCCCTTTTTTTCATAAAGTTCAAAAAAACTTTTGGTAATATATTGTTGGCATAAAGGTTAGCATTAACTGTTTGTCCTTTTGGAATCACAAATCACGTAATGACTCTGTTTACAGAAAAAAACATGCAAAACATTCTTTTTTTCAAATTTTGAGCCATTTTCACTATTTGTGGCCTATTCTCATCCTTTTCTAGCCATGACTTGTTTGCTTGCTTATTTGAAATAGTAAAGAAATATATCCATGTTTTGTTACCAGTAACAATGTTTTTGTACCCCCCCCCATCTAAAATTTTTAATAGTTACTTGGAAATTTCGACACAATTTCATTTATATTCCTCTGAAAGGCTATGGGAAACCCATTTTGCACAGAGTTTGTGGAGACTCAGCTCTTCATGCAAAATGTAAGAAATTCTTTCACAGGAAATACCAACTTCATTAGCTAATTCTTTAATAAAAATATGCAAGTCACTGCTAACAAGATCCTTGACCCTGGCAATTTTTTCTGATCTCACTGCTTTGCGAGGACTTCCAGAATAGGCCTTGCCCTTAATTTCTTCTTCCCATCTTTGAATGTAATAATCCAGCATCTAATTGTGCTGATAGACAATTCTTGTTCCCCTTCTACATTCACTAACTCTTCATGGATTTGAGTTAAATTTCTGCCATTTTTTCAAAAAGTGAAAATAAAATATCATTGGTTTTCATGGCTCATTTTCTTCCAGTTGTTTTATTATGCTTGACAAAAAAATTGGTTTCTTGATAATGAGATAATGAATTTACTTCTATTTTTTCATTTGTTACATGAAAGCATGAGCATTTGATGATTATTCCCAATTTTAGTTAAACTAATACAATCTTGAGTCAGAGAGCGACATGCAAGACTTTTCAGCCCCCCCCCCCCACGTATATTGAGCGTGGATAACAACGAATACTTATATTCGCAAATACAAACAATTGATTTGTTATCGAGATAATGAGGATATATTATTATCAGAAAACTGATTTTATGTTGATAGTGATATCAACTGGGCAACAGGACCATACACAGTTAATATCTATGAGAAAATTTTTATATCAAAAAAATCCGTCCAATAACTTATGTTGCTAACAACGGGATGTTGATTTCAACGAAAGTTGACATCAACAAGTATCACGTTGTAATGTCACACGAACAAACAATACACGTGTGTCGGGATGTTGGGATTTAAGCGTGTTGGGCATTTGTGTTTTGGGATTATGTTGTGATTTTGATATGTCGGGATTTGGTATGAGTGGTACCATTTACAATATATAGTCAACTCTTGATTTACCGAATAATCGGTAATGATATTTCAGGATCTCGTTAAACAGTAAAATCGAGAGAATACTAATATAGCAACTCGCCCTAAATGCACACCCCTCGGGACCACAGAACTAATTTGTCAAAGTGTGCATTTAAAGAGAAGAGAGAGTAAATTTTATGAGTCTTATAAGTTTGGGACCGAACTAGACTATACATTTAAAGAGAGTATATCTAATATGTGTATTTATGGAATGTGCATTTAGGGAGAGTTGACTGTAGTTATCGGTAAATTAAGCGCAGTTTCAATATGGTGATCTGGGAGAGAGGGTCGTTAATTCACGATTCTGTAAACCGGGTCAAGCGTTGACTGTATACATGTATAAAAAATGTCTTTAACAAGCATTTTTGTAGTGGCCAGATGATGACAAAGGTTAATTTTTATCAACTTTTTTTTGTTCTTTGTTAAATTTTTCTTTATGATATTGCTCGTTATATTATTTATTGAATTTTGCGAATGTGTAATTTATAGATTAGTTATCTAATCAAATATCTTTCTAAATGCGTGACGCGTTATTTTAATTCTTTAGTTTTCTATCATCATCTTCTTACCCTTTACGAATTTGTATTTATAAAACCTAAAATCGAAACAACAACTCGAAAAAAATAAAATAATTACTTTCAAATCCCGTTCTTCTTGATATGTCAACTCAATAACCTGGTCCACCATTTGGTGTTATCGTCATCAGATTGACGCACAGTATTCAACACGATACTTACGTCGCTGAAATACGCGTCCATTGAGGAACCGGTACTTCATCAAGTTTCGGAGGCATCGGAAAATCCACGAATTTGTAAAGTTAGTGTACCGATTTTTCGTTAGCTGCTATTGCGAGCACTTCTTCGAGTTGAAGTATGCGGTTCGTGTTTTTCTTCTAGAACATCTTGTTCTTCGGTTGCACATGCTGAGCAGGCTGTAAATATGTTTCTTTGTTAACAGGAATTAAAAAATATGTTCACTGTGAATAAATGTAGAAATAGATAGAACTTATTTTTCTTGCCATTCTCTATTGAGCAGCAACTGAGTTTGAAATTCATATATTTGCTCTATAATATAATAAAAAAGAACATTCAATTAATTTTGATTTAGAAAATTTGTCAAAAGTAGATGACATGACTACCTCGAAGATTATTTTCATCTTCAATGATTGTGTTTGTTCTTGTATAATCTCATTATCAGGTTAACAAGCTTTGTATAAGCACTTCGGAGACTCTTCGTCTAATAATTAGAGAATATTTACATTTCTCGGTTTAACGATAGAAAATTCGTAAAGTCCAATCTTTACCTATTTTTTGAAAAATATACAGTTTTCCAATGTATTTTTCAAGTAACTGATAACGAAAAATTGAAAATGAGGAAATGTCATGAAAACAGATAAACGCAAGAAGGTGAAATAGTACTTATAACGCAATAATATTTGTATAATCAGAAAAATTTTCAGGCGATTGTAGATTTGATTTGTGGTTTCGAGAAGTTCGAAAATTCATTTGATGTGGTTATTATCAGGTTTCAATATTTTAATGTCCGAGAAAACGAGAAAGGATAAAGGTAAAAAGAAGGTGTATAAGAGCTAGTAAACAAGCAAATGAACGTATGAAATACGATAAAACTGTTATAATTGATTCTATTTTGGGCGGTATATTTTTTATTAAACAAAAGTGTAAATTATTTTTTAGAATAATTATAATTGTCAAAGAATAATTAAACAATGTTTTTCGCAAAGAAGGTAAAATAAAATTGGCATAATGTTGCGGAGCATAGCTTCTCATGCCAACTGAAGAATTATGGAATTATAACGGGATCGGGGTCTACTCCAACATCCCGACAACCAGCATCTCGACAACACAGCATCTCGACAACTTCCTGAAATCTAACATCTCGACAATCCAATTTCCTGACAAATCCAGCTTCCCGACAAATATAACCTCCGACAAATTCTGGTTTATATAGGGATCGATCACCATCAAAGATAGAATAACGGGACCTTCATTTTAAAATGTAAAATAATGCCGGATTATCGGGATATGTTGGGTATGTCGGAAATTAGGGTGTTAGGTTGTACATGTACTGGTGTTTTCCAAAAGCGGGTTCACAATCGGCCCAAATTAGATAAGGATACATGGCATTTTGATTTCATGACGATTTAACTGATACCAAAATGCAAATCTTATATTAATGCGCGTTTTCTTGATTAACGAATTAAAATCACGGCCTAATTATGACAGTCCACCAAATTTCGAAAAGATTAAGTGAATTTGCATTATTATGATCTTGATTGGTGATTGGCAATACTATACTATATGCACATATGCGTTTGCATTCATGCGTATTGTATGCATAGTCATTAATCGAGCATATAATCACTATCAGCCGATGTTCTAAATGCAAATTATAACAATAGGTACCATCAATTAAGGCAATTGCGAACTTCGTTTAATACGAGAGCATAAATAATAGTTAACTTGCATTAGATAAACAAATAACTTAAATAATATTGTTCATACCGTCGTATAAATTGCGAAATGTCTCCTCGAAGTACTATATTGAGCATTTAAACAAATTGGTCATGCTTTTGGATTTCAATAACAACGAGCAGAATGAAAATTCCAAGTATCAATGTGTTAATTCTGTAATTCGATGAAGTCACATTTGCGCGTATGTCCAAATACCACAATTGATACTAAGCGATCATTTTTAGTATAAGCTGTAGTACTGTTAAACATATAAATACAACATACTATACATACAGTGCGTATAGTATGTGTAATGTTCGACTATACGCGTATTTGCCCATCACTACATCAAACAAGAAGTTAAACATATGGCTCAAGAGTGTAGCAATAAATTTTAAGCATTCTTTAAAATATTGAAGACGAAAAATTCAAGCCGTAAAAAGTTTATTTTTTGCGAGCAAAATTTACATTACTATGTCAAAACTTTACCAGAAACATGAACGACGTTGATATCAATAATGCGAAATGATTAAAAGATTTAAAGATCTTTAAATGTGTGTCATTCTGAAATTTATAAAAATAAATAACATAATACATGTATCCTGGCCGGGCAAAAAAAAGTGTCGGTCACATGATTTTTTAAGAGGTAAACCAACAAATAATAAGATCGGTGTGTAAAAACAAAATGAAAATTAGGTATAGCGATAAATTTCTTAATTTCGAAAAAGAACAGAAACTGTGATAAAGTTTATTACAAATTAAATAAATATGAACGGTTAAAAACTGAAAAACAGAATAAAATATAATTAAATAAAACACTTGCATAATAACAGACAGAACGAATTATAACGAAAAATATCGAAAACAGAACAAAGTACGAAAGAACATGTAACCGAACAAGCGAGTAATGAATTAATGATGAGTTGAGAAAACTCGATTTTGATATGTTTATGTTTAGTTTATATAATGAGATTTTGTAACTTTAAATATCTTAATATATCTAACTTAAATTTGTCATATTATATATATTAGCTTTATAAAAATGGTTATTAACTTATTAATAATCTTCAAAAACGATGTTTAATAAAAACGATATCGGTATGGTGGTATTATTGGTTTATTAATGATAGTTGGTTTGGTGAAGAAGAATTATTGATCATTATCATTATCATTAATAATAAAAGATTCGTCATAAATATGTGTCTTAATATTGATATCCTTATTTCTAGAAACTTGATCCATTATTTCGATCGAATTTCTAGATATCATCAATGTTGTTGAGGCAGAGATGGCAGTATTATTGTATTTGGTTGTTGATGCCGTATCATTTAAAGAGGACGACTTAACGATTTGTGCTGCTTCTTGAGGAATTGAATGATTACTCGCTAGGCTAGACATGGATCCCGAAGTAAATGTGTATTTCTTGTGTTCACGAAAAACGTATTTCTTTATACTTGAATCTTTTACATTTTTTGGCTTATACCTATAATTAGGATATAAACATTTATGATTCTCATAAGCTATTTTTTCTAATAATTTGAAGAAATCTTTGTCTTCTTTTGACAAGCTTTGCCATTTTAAACTGCATTCTTTTGCTGTTTCTTTGACTTTTTGTTTAGCATGTTGCTTGAATAAACGTATACGCGCTTCATAATCTCTTCGAAAGATTACCCAGCTATTTTGTGGGCGTGGTGGTTTGTCAAAGCTAACTCCTTTTTTTACAGCTGGTTTAGTTAATTCGTCGATACCAAGAGTTAATTGGTAAGGGAATTCAATTGAAAATAGCAAATTGATATAGTACAACCAGTCGTAATTAGCACGAACAGAGGTGTTAGGCATTTTAAACAGTACAATTTGTTTGTGAAGAAGATAAAATAACGAATAAAAAATAGCAGGCAGATTTTTTGGAAAAAATCAACTCTGTTTGAAGGAACGAATGAATAATACAACAAACAATAAAATGCGATTTAGTTTTCGTATCATAATTAGTTAAATAGGTATAACGACAACAAAAAATTGAAAGTTCTATGTGTAAGGAATTAGGCGTTGTTTTCGAAACGTTTGCATAATCCTGATTTACAATAAACTGTGAATGGTAATTTTAATGCATGCGGCTCATAAAAAAATATCATACTTGCATACATGTCCTGATTGCAGAAAAAATACTATCATGCATGTTCTATTACGGTAGAGGCGGCAATAAATAAAAAAAATACTTGCATGCATGTCCTGATTCGAATCTCCAAAAATTATTCATTTTGTAATCGAAAAGATAGCTAATTGACTGGCTATAATCGCATTGTAATTTTTCACGGTGTAAGTCCATGTGTCAAACTAGGATATTTGGATGTGAGAAGACATAGATGTGCTCGTTGCATGCCCATTTATTACGTTAATTTAAGATGAGGAGGCGAAAATCTATCACGTATACAAGTGTACACAGTTCTCAGAAAACATCTGAGAACAATCATTGAAGTCCTATTGTTTAACAATTTTTAAAATTTGAACAATATAAAAAAATTTTCTTTCGCATCAGACCAATGCCCCCATCTAGTTTAACACGTGCCGGCATACCATTCATAATATGTATAATGCGTTTTTTCTTCGTATTTTTTGTGTAAATAAATGTTGATATCATAATAGTTATTTTGGAGATACTGTAATATATTAATATAATAAGATTAATGTAACATTATAACATTATTTACTTGCTTAACCTTTATATGCTTAATGGTTGTATAATGGTAACATATACATAATAACATCTTTTTCGGCGTCGGACTATAGTTTTGATAGAAGGTTTCGTCTTGGGTGGGTTCAACTTAGAGATGTCTACTGCACTTTACACTTTACTCTTATAATGTATTTGTCAAATAACGAAAAAAAGGTGAAATGCTCAAAATGCCATGAAAAATTAAATATTTATTATAAGTTTTGTCCTACCTGTGATCTCCCTGCATGGAGTAAAAAATTATCAAAGAAACTCAACTTGAAATTTTCCTCGAGTGGGTTGAGTATGAAGAATTTAATAAAATAGAATTAATTGCTGAAGGCGGTTTTGGCAGCGTATCAAAAGCAATTTGGAATTCGGGCTATGTAATTAATTCCAATAAAGATCAAAGAAAATTAGTTCGAGCAGGACCAAATCTTGTTGCACTAAAGAATTCAAGTAATGCAAATTGTAATACAATTCAATTGAATCGATTAAATTTTAAATTTGGATTTAACTTATATTATTTAAATACACACATGAATATATAGATTAATCTGCTGTCACTTTAATAAGATGGCGAGAATATTTTGAATTACTAGAGATTCAGAA